GACAAAAGATATCTCTGTCGCACACCTGTTTTTATTTCAAATGCATCTGTTAGCTTTCCCTCACTCGACATTTAATGTTGCTTTTACTAAATTAATAATTTTCTGAGAGATTCCATAGTGCCCCATCAATTTCCAGAGAGATTACATATCAATGCTGTCAAATGCTTTTTCTTAGTCTTTGAATCAATGTAAAGTGGTGAGTTCAATTCAATGCTTTGCTCTATTTGTATACGTAATGTGGCCATCTGGTCAGTAAAGGGTTGATTTGCCTGAAAACCTGCCTGTTAATCTCTTAGCTTTTTATATATAGCATCTTTTAATCTTTCCAAAATTATTCTACTTAATATTTTTCTAGGAATTGACAGCAACATAACTCCTCTATAGTTTTCACACTCCTGTAGATCACCTTTTTTTTGGGCAGTTTCACAAGATATTTTTTCTTAATCAACGTAGCAATTTCGCTAATGTGTTTATGTTGGCCCTAATACCTTCTGCTGAGATACCATATGGACCTGCAGTCTATCCTTCCTTGAAAAGATTAATAGCTTTTCTTCTTCTTCTGCGTTCATCCGAAGATGTAATTGCGTTGTGTCCGTTTACAGCATAGCTGCGATATTTGCACCTTTCGGCCAACACATCCGACTTCTGCGGGCATTTGTTGAACGGGTTAGCCTTCCCGGTTAGCTTTTCAAATTTCCTCTTTAGATGGTAACCAACAGCTAAAATCTAGTTTCATTTCTTATGGCAGGATATCTACAGGAACTGCTGGGCCTCGTCTATTTAAAAGTAATTCAAAAAATATTGAGCCCACCTGTTCATTTGATCTTAAGTGTTAGTAAGTACCTCTCTTTGATTATTTTTGATTAATCCAGTTGGCTGACTATATTAACCTACTCAATTTCTCGTGTTACTGCAAAGTTCTCTAAGGTTTTCTTTTGCTGCTGTCTCAAACGGGGCTAATATAAGCTAAAATTACAATATTTTGATACACATACAATTTTAAAAAAAAAATATACTTTAAACTTCATATAATACCTATTTATATACTAAGTGACTCGCCCTGTGTGATCGACTATTTTATCGGGACAACAGTAAAGGATGCAGCAGCCACTACAAGCTACAACCTACTGACTGTTCACGAGAAGAGTTGGTTACAGAAAGTTTCCTTGTGGAACTGGTTATAGTTTCATATTTCTATACATTTCACTAACAAACACTACTGAACGTTCACACACTCCCTATTTCTTCGTCGCTACGTCTCCATACCTCCTCTCTCTCTCTCTCTCTCTCTCTCTCTCTCTCTCTCTTGTTTTCTCACATTCCACTTACAATCACCCTGCCAGGACACACCCCTGAACATGCACACACACTCTCTTTCTTCCTTGATGAGTCTTCCCCCCTCCTCACCCCACCCGATTTGTTTTCATGTTTCCTCATTTTCCACTGACAAACTCCACCCAGGACCCACACGCCCCCTAAGATACACACACTTCACCCTTTCTTCCTTGAAATGACCCCCCCCCCCCCCCCCCCCTGTTTTTATTTTTCCTCATCTTTCACTGACAAACCCCACCAAGAACACACACGCTCCTGAAGATACACATACTGCGCCTCCCCCTTTCTTCCTTGATGTGCCCCCTCCCCCTCCCGGTTTTCATGTTTAGTCATCTTCCACAGACAAACACCCATCGAGAACACGCCCCTGACCATTCTGACTGAGCATGGCTTGATAATTACATTAACAAACCTCGATTAGATGCCGGAAGTGCGAGATTCAGCTACGCGAACATAAAAGCTAGTTACGCGTAGCTAAGTCACTATGGTAACCAAATCGATAAACCTGTTTAAATCAACAAGTTCTAAACGCAGTTTAACTATACAGAAGAAAGTTAATTATTTCCAAGTCCTGATGATGTAATTGTCTTTTTATTTTTATCAAGCACGTTTATCAATATCCGTGTGATGTTATGTTATTGATCCATGTCTAAAAGGTGGATTTAAAAGTCTAGTTAGTTGCTTTTGTTTCTTTACAATCATATTTAGTACATATTAGAAGTGGGTAAAGCAGAGCCTGAACAGAGGGCACGAAGGCAGCTGCAACTCTGGCTTGATCGCGAATATATTTACATCCATCTAATATTATCATTCTTGCCCCTTTCTTTCACAAACTTCTGCTTGTATCATTCTTCTTCTTCATCACCACAATTATCCTTATTCCATCACCATCAATATCACCATCATTACCAGTCATCAAAATCATCACAGCCATTATCATCATCAGATTGGTTCCCTTCATTTGTTGGGCTCTTGATCATCATCACCATCTGCTTCTGCTTCTGTTTCTGCTTCTGTTTTTGCTGCTGCTGCTGCTGCTTATGTTTCTGCTTCTGCTTCTGCTGCTTCTGCTGCTTCTGTTTCTGCTGCTGCTTCTGCTGCTGCTTCTCTGTTTTTGCTTCTGCTGCTGCTCCTGCTTTTGCTGCTTCTGTTCTGCTTGTGCTGCTGTTCCAGCTTATCTTCTTCTTCTTATTCTGCTTCTTCTGTTTCTTCTTCTTATGCTGCTTCTGTTCTGCTTCTGTTTCTTCTTTCTTCTTCTGCTGCTGCTTCTCATATTTCCCTTCTCCTTCATCTCTTCTTCTTCTTCTTCTTCTTCTTCGAAGAAGGAGGAGGGGAAGAGGAAGGAGCTCAGGAGGAGGGCTTCTTCTTCTTCTTTTGCTTCTTCTTCTTCTTCTTTTGCTGCTTTTTCTGTTCTCTTCTTCTTATTCTTCTCTTTCTTCTTCTTTTCTCTTTGTTCTTCTTCTTCTTCTGCTCTTCTTCTTCTTCTTCTTCTTTTGCTTTTTCTTCTTCTTCTTCTTTGCTTCTTCTTCTTCGCTGCTTCCTTCTTCCCGCTTCTCTTCTTCTTCTCTTCTTCTCTCTTCTTCTTCTTCTTCTTCTTCTTCTTCTTCTTCTTCTTCTTCTTCTTCTTCTTCTTCTTCTTCTTCTTCTTCTTCTTCTTCTCCTCCTTCTCTTTCTTCTCCTTTTCTTCTTCTTCTTCTCCTTCTTTTCTTCTTCTTCCGCCTTCTTCTCCTTCTCCTCTCTTCTTTCTTCTCTTCTCTCCTCTTCATTCTTCCTCTTCTCTTCTTCTTCTTCTTCTTCTTCTCTTCTTCTTCTTCTTCTTCTTCTTCTTCTTCTTCTTTCTTCTTCTTCTTCTTCTTCTTCTTCTTCTTCTTCTTCTTCTTCTTCTTCTTCTTCTTCTTCTTCTTCTTCTTCTTCTTCTTCTTCTTCTTCTTCTTCTTCTTCTTCTGCTGCTTCTGTTTTGCCCTCTTTTTGCCCTTTTGTTCCTTATCCCTTGATGGTACACAGACTCTCACTCAGCTCCTACTGTTTCGTTTGGACCTGTTTACAGAAGGTTGACATGTGTTTCAGAAATATTCTGTTTACAAGTAGACCTATCTAATGTTGAGTATAGTCCTTAGCCGTTTCAAAAGCGTTATTGGCCTCTAGGCAAACCCATGTGCTTAGGCCCTCTCTCAACAATTATGGCAGGTCCCTTGACATTCAGATATTAACATGGATCCCTAATCATGTCGTAGGAGTGGATTAATGAAGGGCTTCCTTTAAAGTTAAAATTCATCTGTTTGAACAGTAAGAAGCAACCACCTGCACACATATAAGCTAGTAAAACGGATGTACACGCAAAACCTATGCCCTGGCACAAAGCCAAAGTTCAAATTGACGAACAACCAGAACTTCCCTATAAATAAAGAAGAAGAAGATTGTATTGCAAGACACCCACGACCACCCCCTCCTCCCGACCGCCCTACCCTATAAATATGATAAGAAATAGCAAGACAAACACATTCCAAGAACAGTTAACAAGAACTTGGAGAAAAATATCCACTTTAATTAAAGAGTCAAATAACATAACGTCCTTGGCTTTTTGCTTTCAAACTAGTTTTTAATATGTTTAAAAATAATTAACTGATAATTAAATAAAAAAAATTAATAAATGAAAAAGTGAGAATAACAGATTATTACAAGTACACAAAAATTCATTCATGAAATTGATTGAAACCCCCTTGAAACTTACTTTCGCTGCCTTCCACACCGCACCCATGAGGTGCGCCGAAGGTTTAAAAAAAAAAAACCTATTGGGCTAAAATATGCCACCACGCCTTGGGTTCGAACCGCATTTTTTTGGATTTTCAAAAAAAAAAATGCTAATGGCTCCTGTCTAGTCAAAAATTAACACGAGAAAGCGTACTGGGAAGTAAAGGTGGTCGTTGGGATTGTAATCACGCCATCTACCTGGTGCTGGTTGGTCTAAAAGACACTAACGCACTAAGTCTAGTAAGTCAATGCTTTTTTTTAATCTTAAATAAAAAAAATTAAAAAAAGATGCTGGTGCTGACGAAAAAAAAAATGTCTAAAACCTGTGGTGGTATTCACAGAATTCAAAACAGTAGCATTAAAATTGATGCCAGTGTGCCGTTACAGCGTGTCTTTACAAACCGTCTATAAGGCTCAAAGTCCTGAGTCTAGTCTAGTCCGATGAACTAAAATTTGCGAAAAGTTTTTTTTTTTTTTTTACAAATGTACGTTGTTGTCAATCCCGTATTGTTAATGAAAGACCTGGATAATAACAGAGAGAGAAAAAAAAAAAGATAAAAAGTAAAACAACTGAAATGAGATTCCTGCGAAGAGCTCTCGATATGTCTAGAAGAGATAAGGCAAGAAGCGAAGAAATTCGAAGGAAAATGGGAGTAGAAGCAGCTCTGGATTTTATTAAGAGACAACAGGTCAAATGGTTTGGTCATATAACGCGGATGTCAGCAGTATACAATAGCAAGTCATGATTTACAAACCAAACAGGAACACAGCAACACACCGCAACATACTAGAGGATTAAAGCTAGAAATGATTATGTAGATTGTTGCCTTAAAACAAACAAACCACACACAACACACACACACAAAAAAACAACGACCAAACAAAGCCAAACAGACGAAAACAAATTGGCTTACCATAGCTATAAGCATTTTGTTAGTCCTCTTCTTCCGTTTAATCTCCAGTTCTTCTCTTTCTCGTGTCCTGGCTCCGCTACCGATTTTAACCTTGGAGCGCTTCTTCAGAGCCAGGGATACCATTGTGTAGCAGAAGGAGATGATGCTGCAAGGCACAATATACTGGAGCACAAGACTGGTCACCGTGAAGAACTGACGAGCTTGCGGCTTTGGCCATTTCTCTGAACACATGTACACAGAATCGTTTAAGTGCTCCACCTCGTGGTAGATTCCCAGTGGTAGGGAGATAGAAATGGAGATGATCCAGATGGCAAAGATCATTAGTACGCACATGTACACTTTCATTCTTGGCTTGAATGGGTACACAATAACAAAATAACGATCCACCGCAATGGCTGTTGAGGTCAGGGTTGACACATAAACGGAAATACATAGAATCATGGGAACAATATGGCAGAGCGCTTTCCCAAAGATCCAAGAATTTAAGAAAAACGAAATAGGGGTGAATGGAACTGCGAGCAAACACATAAGAATGTCAGAGATGGCCAAGTTGGTAATAAAGATGTTAGTAATCGTCTGCATTGTTTTGTTTCGCATGACAACAAAGGCGACGAGACAGTTTCCTGTTAGTCCGATCAGAAATATGAGGGAGTAGAAGAAAATAAAAAGACTCATTAGCCAAGGGATACGGACCACTTGGTCTTGTCCTGTGTTGCTCATGGGGTGTTGAGTTGCTGTCTCACTGGCGACTGCGTCCATTAGCATCGGGGTTGTGCTTCCAGGAAGACTCATATTGTAAACTAATCCAATCTTCTTTATTCACTTTGGAAAATTCAATGTAGATTGTGAAAGATAAACGTAAGTTTAGAAGTCGAAAATAGATAACTCACGAACTCGCAAAACAGGTCAGAGATTTCCTCGGATCAACCTGAAAATATTAAACAAAAATAACTTAATTAAGAAATCACAATTTATAATTCACACAAAAAAAAAAAAACAGTTGTTTTTAGATCAAGGATCTTCTTTGCCTTAACGTTTACCAGTTGTAAACCTTTGGGAAAAGTTCTGGTTGTTCGTGCATTTCTGGACTTTGATCTTCTTCCAGAAGTTGACTGTTACAAAACTTGAATTGAACTCAGGTTAGCGTCAAAGACCGGGGGTGGGTGGGGAGGGGTGGGGGTGGGGGGGAGGGGAGGGGTGGGGGTGGGGGGAGGGGTGGGGTGGGGAGGAGGGGTGAGAGGGGTGTCGGAAGAAGACTCCCACCCTCCCTAAAAAGAACATTGTACAAGGGGAGTTTTCTTCGAAGTCCGAGTGCATCTGTCTGAGAGGCAGGAAGTCAACCGTCTACATAAACAAGATCTATGAAACGGATGTAAAATGCAAAACGCAAGTTCTGAAACATGATACAAGTCCAGAAACATAACAGTTTATATAAATACACATACATACATACATACATACATACATACATACATCCATCCATCCATCCATCCATCCATCCATCCATCCATCCATCCATCCATCCATCCATCCATCCATCCATCCATCCATCCATCCATCCATCCATCCATCCATCCATCCATCCATCCATCCATCCATCCATCCATCCATCCATCCATCCATCCATCCATCCATCCATCCATCCATCCATCCATCCATCCATCCATCCATCCATCCATCCATCCATCCATCCATCCATCCATCCATCCATCCATCCATCCATCCATCCATCCATCCATCCATCCATCCATCCATCCATCCATCCATCCATCCATCCATCCATCCATACATACATACATACATACATACATACATACATACATACATACATACATACATGCATGCATGCATGCATGCATGCATACATACACGCACGCACGCACGCACGCAGGCAGGCAGACAGGCAGGCAGGCAGGCAGGCACGCACAGACAGACAGACAGACAGACAGACAGACAGACAGACAGACAGACAGACAGACAGACAGACAGACAGACAGACAGACAGACAGACAGACAGACAGACAGACAGACAGACAGACAGACAGACAGACAGACAGACAGACAGACAGACGGACGGACGGACGGACGGACGGACGGACGGACGGACGGACGGACGGACGGACGGACGGACGGACGGACGGACGGACGGACGGACGGACAGACAGACAGACAGACAGACAGACAGACAGACAGACAGACAGACAGACAGACAGGACATACATACATACATACATACATACATACATACATACATACATACATACATACATACATACATACATACATACATACATACATACATACATACATACATACATACATACATACATACATACATACATACATACATACAACAGTAGAAGCATTTCAAGTGAATTCAGAAAGAGACCGTTGTGGTAATGCACAGTTTAACTTTGAGAAGCCAATGGCACATTGTAAGTAAAGAGAGTTAAATAAACATTGTGAAGTAAACAAAGTGAAATAAACATTATGTGAGCCTGTATTTTTTGTCTTCAGTAAGCGGGTAAGAGTGATGAACAATTTCACAACCAGTAGAAAAGAAAATCGAGGCTCTCCAGCTTCAAACTCAGAAAAAAACATTAACATCGAGGCTTTTCAGCTTCAAACAAAAAAACATTATTCATAAGTCCGTTAATCAATAGTAAGAAAAATACTGACAGTCCACAAGGTCCTAATATTAAAGAAAACTGGGTCATAAACAGCATTATTTTCTAAAAAGGGAAATACTTTGCTTATATTAAACGCCACACTTATTTATCAAGGACAGCACACGTAGGCACGATGGCTGAAAGATGTGTTTGGGAAATAAAACAGGGTGAAGATAGACACGAGAATTTCGAGGTCACTTTTCCATTACAAGACGGAGAGAAAAAAAAAAAAAAGAGAGAGAGAGAGAGAGAGAGAGAGAGAGAGAGAGAGAGAGAGAGAGAGACAGACAGAAAGAGAGAAAGAGAGAAAGAGACAGAGACAAAGACAGAGGAGAGAGATGAAGAGAGATAGTGAGGGAGAGTGAGGGAGAGAGAGCAGGAGAGAGAAAATGTTTGCCAAGGGGTTGTGTATTTGGGAATACACTTTGGAGAGGACAGTTAACTAGATTGTATATAAGAGCGCGTGCGCATGTGTGTGTGTGTGTGTGTGTGTGTGTGTGTGTGTATATGTATATATTTTTTTAACCTACGCTGTGCTATAGGTATCAAACACTGACACTGTCTTCTAAATAGAGAAGAAAAATTGTCACGAGAGAAATGAAATATTCACGTGTTTTGCTAGCCTGTCTTGTTTACTTCAAAGAAAGGGTAACACCAGCATATGCCTCAGAACAAAGGATGCAGTAGACGCTCCGGGATCAGTAGAGCAATGAGTTGTCTGCCTAACGGAGCTTCCCTCCCACAGCAGCTGCCAGCCAAGGTCAAGGGCCTGGTCAGCCATGCTTTGACATTCAGGTTGCCATAACATTTTCAGGTTGCAATATTTTTTCCCCCAGGATAAGGCTAGCATCCTTCCAAATACTTTCCCCCACCCGAAGCCGTTGATGCAGTAAGGAATCTCCCCTAGTATATATATATATATATATATATATATATATATATATATATATATATAGGGCAAAGTCGGGAGATGTGAACCAGCGTCATTGCACACGGTCATAAACCATTAGTGCTCTGCCACCAGTACGGACAGCTGATAAGAATTGTCATTCTGTGTCGCCGTTCACACTCTGTAGCTACAGCGACGTTCCTCCATTTACCCCAGAGTATCATTCCGGTGGGAGTCGCCGTGGCAGAGCGGCTAGACGCGCACCGCGGATCGGAAGGTCGTGGGTTCGCTACCTGGCGAGGCCGGACTTTTCTTCAAAAATGACCTTGGCTCCCAGGTCGACCCAGCCTTGAGTGGGTACCGAGTGCAGCCCCGGGAAGTAGAGGCGGCCGGCGTGATGCTGACCACATCACCCATCTTGTGCCGTTGGTCTATAAAATATAAGTCTAGTCCTATGCCCTATAAGCCTAAAGGCGTGGAAAAGAGTCCTTTACTTTTTATTTTTATCACTCTGGTACCCATTTCCTAGAGGCTGGGTGAACCCCAGGAGCCGCCCGGTTTCGAACACCGATCGTGGGCTGCAGCGAGCCGCAGCTGGATTTGAAAGCGAGCTTCTTATCGACTCCGCTAACGCGGCCCTGATATATATATATATTTATATATATATAGTCTCTATCTCTCTCTCTCTCTCTATATATATATATATATATATATACATATTTATGCATATACACACACACACACACACACACACACATATATATATATATATATATATATATATATATATATATATATATATATATATATATGGCGTATCGGTCTAATGCTCAAAGACAGTCGGTTGAAATGAATATCTCATGGAACACTTTCGCCTGGAAAGAAGGAAAGGTGCCAACCATAAAATAAATATTCATTACAGCCATAGATGAGAAAATCCCTCCAGGCAACATACATAAATAAGCCAGTTACTTCCCTTGTAACTTAAAAATATCAGAATTCGAGTTGATCGAAAAATAACACGGGGTGTTTCTTGAAAACGCACGAATCAATCAACACATCATGTTTTTTTTTCAAATGACAGATGGATTTTTTAGCAGCCTTTGTAACATTGAAGAGGCGAATAAAAACAATGCTGTTTGCTGGAAATTGGGAAATCAATAACCCAGAGCTTTACCGAGTGAGTGACGTCTTACTACACTAGGATATCACACCGAGCGTTAAACACCCGGTGACACAAAGTGCCAACATTCGGATGAGGATCACCTGGGTAAGGTCACAGAAACCCCGTTCAGCCTGTAGGTTGGGTTATTTTAGGGCTTTCAGCAACAGCTAGCTTAGACCAACAACAAAAATTGCGTTCAATATTGGGACGCAGAAATAATAACCCAGAGCTCTGCGTTTAAATCAATTCTTAACTTACAACTAGATATTATGCCGCCCCCATGTGGATGCAATTTTTTGTTTTTTGAAGCTCCACTCTAGCTTTTGCAGGGGGCCCTAAATATAGTCAGGCCATAAATATGGCCTAACGGCGGAACAGGGTTTCGGGGTGTTTATCGCTCTTTGTGCTGTCCTGGTGGGGTAAACTCACAAACATATACACATACACACCAGACGTTAGAATACTTTACTCAATCAAAAATCTCCGTCCTTATGTGGGACGAATGTTTTGTTATTTTGATTTTGAAGAACCACCCTGGCTGTTACCGGAAGCATTTATATAGCCTAATGGTTGAACGAGGTTTCTGGGACATCTCCACGGGTGATGCTCATCCGAATGGTGGCAGTTTGTGTCACTGTGTTTTTATCGCTCAGTGTAAAGTCCTGATTGTTTAAACAGCAGTCAGTCAGTGGTTGGAATCTTGTCATCACGCCTTAAAGGTTTTCAATACTTAAGATAGAAATGATCGACTTCAAAGCAAGTGCTGGTATCCTTAATAAACCCCCTCTCCCCTCCCTCTGTCTGTCTGTCTGTCTGTCTGTCTGTCTGTCTGTCTGTCTGTCTGTCTGTCTGTCTGTCTGTCTGTCTGTCTGTCTGTCTGTCTGTCTGTCTGTCTGTCTGTCTGTCTGTCTGTCTGTCTGTCTGTCTGTCTGTCTGTCTGTCTGTCTGTCTGTCTGTCTGTCTGTCTGTCTGTCTGTCTGTCTGTCTGTCTGTCTGTCTCTCTCTCTCTCTCTCTCTCTCTCTCTCTCTCTCTCTCTGCATATTGGCTATCCACATACCAAGAGAGGGT